CGGTCCTGCAGAGGGGAGGTAGAGGAGGCTTGCAGCTTTTAGAACCACAGACGCAGAGAGAGGTTTCATTCCCAGCTCCAAACATCCAGCCTGACGCACCAGCAGAGAGCGCGAAGGGAGCAACAACAACAAAAAGATAAATAAAACCAGACCGATGTGTGCGTGAGCTTGCTTGTCCACCGTGAATCAAAAAGCCACCAGGACTGAGGAGATACCGGTGGGGGGGCCCTGCACGCTGGAACCGTCATTCTTGTTCGGGGAGGAGAGGGAGAAGCAGAGGCTGGGAGAAGCGGCTGAGAGCAGCTCGTCGGTCATGTTGCGCACCTGCCGCACATCCGCGCACCGACCGGACTGCTGAAGGCAAACAGGAGCAGTGGGAGGGGAGGGGGGGCAACTTTCTGGAGCAAGAAGTTGCCTTCAGATCGGAGGGGCGAAGGCGGGAGGAGGGGGGCACTAAAACTCAAGTCCCTCCATCGCGCAGAGTCACCTTGTTGTTTTTTCTTCACGTTTTCGTCCTCGACAGGAAGGCGACACGGCGGCTTCAGTTGATTATCTCCCTTTCCTTTGCTATCCAATGGATATTCACTGCAAGGCAGACCCGTTCACAGCCATGCACCGTAAGTAGACAACCCCAGCCCCTTCCTGTCCGCGGCTGCAGCTTTGGCACGTTCCTAAAACCAAAGAATTTGCGCATTTCCACAGAGCGGAGCAATTTGTGCCGTTCCAAGTGTGCGTCTTTGCGCAGGAAAAGACACACAAGCAAAGGCTAAACAGGGGAACTTCGCGGCATATGCACAATTATTTTTTAAATATATATATATTTTATTTTGAGCAGTTATGCTTAAAATGAGCTAAAAGCTTGAAAAAAATATGTCCACATGCGGTGGAGCGCTGAGAAAACTTGCCTCTGTAAACAAAGAGCAGGTGCTGTAATTTACACGTGCCTCATCCCGAAGCTTTGCGCGCGCACTCTCTCTGTGCCTGTGTGCGTGTGTGTGAGAGAGTGTGCGTGTAATAAGGCAGGGGATATTAGTTACACATGTATTATTTAAATTATCCACGCAACAAAGTTAAATCTACACGGTTTCCTTGTAATGTGGCGAATGTGCATGAATAATTCAGCTCCTCCTAAACGATTCATGCAATATGAGTAAATGAAAGCTCGTTTAATTATTAAAAAAAAAAAAAAAACGCGGGGAAAATGAAAGAGCTCGTAATTTAATCTCCAACATGAAACGAAAACGATGTAGGAAATTATAAATAAAAATTATAGAACAGAAAATATTTTAACAGTCAGAAACCTACTAATTTTGACGTTTTTATTTTTCTGGTTGGCTAATAAAAAATATCTAGCTTTAAAAAAAAAAAAATACAGTAATAAATATAAAAATATCAGCTCAATTTAGGCTGGTTTTATGGATCAAATCAAATTGGATCACAATTAAAAGACGAAAACACGTTTCCACGTGAGTAAATATTTATTTTTAATCAATGAAATGTTGCATTTTAATTCAATCATTGAACAATGTATAAAAATTGCACCTAAAATTACATATTTCATTAAAAACAAAAACTATGTCTATTATTGTATGGGTTGTTTTAAATTAAAGTTGACTAAAATAAATAGGTGAGCAGATGCAAATGTTTTCAAAGCGTGATTTAATAAATATGCACGCTGTATTTTTTATTTTATTTTATGAAATACAAAATAAATAACACACTTAGCTATACGAATTGTTACATTTTCAACCAAACTAAATTAATATTTATATTTAAAATATTAATAACGCGCAGGTAAACCACGTGACTCACAAAGTTCGCCTGTTTTCTTGTGTTTCTTTTGAATTTTCATTTCATAACGACCTTATGTAATGTTACGTCTGGGTGTGTTTTGTTGCTGTTGTGTCCCACGTAGGGCACGGAGGTGTCAACCAGCTCGGCGGGGTGTTCGTGAACGGAAGACCCCTCCCGGACGTGGTGAGGCAGCGGATCGTGGAGCTGGCCCACCAGGGTGTCCGGCCCTGCGACATCTCCAGACAGTTGCGCGTGAGCCACGGCTGCGTGAGCAAGATCCTGGGCAGGTGGGTGAAGACTCCCCGGCAAAGGTATAGAGATCCTGGGTGGAGGTGGCCACTTCTCATGTTTGTACGTCATGTTTTACTCAAATGTTCATTAGGACCTTTTTATTTTTTTTTATTTTAGGAGCTCAGTGTGTGTGTGCGCAGCGTGCGCCAAAACGCGTTTCCAAACGCATTTAACTTTTTTTTTTTAAAGTTTCACTTAATAGTTTTTCCTTAAAGCCTTCACATTTATGTAAAATAATAATAATATTTTTTAAAAAGTGCATTCAAATTTTTATTCTCCACCTTTTGCGTTTTTAAAGAACTTTTTTTCTTTTAAACAGGCGACAATTTCCTTCCTCATTTTGTTGCAGATACTATGAGACTGGCAGCATTAAACCTGGAGTGATTGGCGGCTCCAAACCCAAAGTGGCCACTCCGAAAGTGGTGGAAAAGATTGCAGACTACAAGAGACAAAACCCAACCATGTTTGCCTGGGAAATCAGAGACAGACTGCTGGCAGAGGGCATCTGTGACAACGACACTGTTCCCAGCGTCTCATCCATTAACAGGTAGGAACAATTAATGCCAAAATAAATAAATATATATATATATATAAGTTAAAGTGACATGTGTAACTGCAGGATGCACACCCTGCAGAATTGTGTTGGAGCAACTTTGCACTGCCCGACACTGCGAGCAGAGGTTGCGACGCGCTCAAAGGTGCAATTCAATCTTTTCAG